CCTATGAGTGAGATTCTCCCATTTTATTAAAAAGAACTAGCTTACAAACATTAGAATAACCAACATCCTAATGGCTGTAAGTAGAAGCCAAAGTTCAAACTGAAGTCAAACTTCAGGTTTGACCCCAGGACCACTGTTTTAATCTCATGCTAAACTTGCTCTCAGAAAAGAGTTCAATAAATGGGAGTTGCTGCTATTAAATACAAGGACAACTAGTGTTGCATAATATACAAAAGACAGGGTAGGGAGACAGAACTCAGGGGATGGGTAGCTTGACTCAAGAAACTGAGAAAGAAGTTGAAATTTCATATCCAGGAGAAAACGCAGCAATTTCCTATAGGTTAAATTCAGGGATTAGGGCTGTCAGGGGAGCATCTTGGAGGTTACAAAGCATGAGCCTGACTCAAAGGAATGAGCCTAGCTTAAGATATCATTATGACCCTGGCATGTGTGGCTCAGTGGATTGAGCGCCAGCCTACAAACCAAGGGTCGATTTGATTCCCAGACAGGGCACATGCCTCGGTTGCAGGCCAGGTCCCCAGTACAGGGCACTCAAGAAGCAACCACACACTGATGTTTCTCTCCCTCTCTTTCTCCGTCCCTTCCCCTTTCTAAAAATAAATAAAATCTTAAAAAAAAAAAAAGATATCATCATAGTCGTACAATATGGCACAGCTTCCTTAAGCATGGATGCCAGGCAAGATTTCTTACATGTTTGCCACACTATCGTGTATTTTTTTTCAGGGGAAAACCTCTGGCCTGGGACTCCCAGATTAAGTTATAGTTTTTGGCTAGAGAAAATAAAAAGGAGCATTTACCAAAAATAGCATGTATCCTTTTATCTGTTTCTCTATGTTTTAAAATAGTTTCAAAAAACAATTCATGACTCGAGAACCAAGCAGTTCTCGAGTGATCCCACAGTTGGGATGCAAGCTTACAAACATTAGAATAACCAACATCATGATGGCTGTAAGTAGAAGCCAAAATTCGAACTGAAATCTAACTTCAAAGTCTTTTCCCTTTTTACCACATGGTATGGCCTTCTGCAGAAACACAGTGCTATCTTGTCTTCTGCAAGAATCTGACAAAGCATCTTGTGATATCCCCTGTGGGCAAGACTAATGTAGCTATAGGACAAAAAAGCTAGGAGATCTGTAATGCTAGAACCACCATTTTCATTAAAGGTTTTGTATACATCAGGCAGTAGCCCACAGAAGTAAGTCTTAAGCTGTTGTTTGCTTCTATTATCATTAATATGTACAACACTCCATTAATAATTGTTTCTCACTTAAGGTGAAAGAAGACTGTGGCCCACTCATAGTTTGAAAAAGCTCCTCTCTAAGATTCCAAATGTCTAGCCTTGACCAGTGTGGCTCAGTTGGTTGGGCATTATCCCACCAGGTTCCATTCCCAGTCAGGTCATGTACTTGGGTTGCAGGTTTGGGCCCCATCGAGACAACCAATCGATGTTCTCTCTCACACTGATGTTTCTCTCTCCCTCCCTTCTCCTCTCTCTAAAAACAAATAAATAAAGACTTTTAAAAAATAATTAATTTTAAAAAGATTCAAAATGTCTAAAGAAAAATACATTTCTAGTCATGCATCACTGGGCTACAGTAAGACCTGCCGCAGAGCTTTGACTTGGCCCTCCCCTTTCTTTCAAAATGTTTATCAATGACCTGATGAGACATTACAGATTTTTACCAAATCTTCAGGTGATACAGTTAAAATGAATAGCTAATCCAGACAGTAGGGAGGGACCATGCCTTATTCTTCTTTGCATGCCCAGGACCAACCAAGTCTATCAAAGTCAAATTTAATGGGTCAAACATGTTAGGGACAAAAAAAAACAAACAAAAAACACTTAACTACAAACTCCAAGAAAAAAAAAGTTAAGGGATGTAAAACACTTTTTTTAAAGCAAGTAACACTAAGATAGCAGTGTGACATTAATATTATGACAACTGCCCAAAAAGATCATAGAATCTTTTCTACTTTAGTGTTAGAAAAGGATTCTCAAAAGGGGAGGTGACAGCCTGCACTTCTCTGTTCAGTTCTAACCACCCTTGGAATCACTGCAACAGCTGAAGGCATCACATAGTTAAGGAAAGAGGACAATGAGTAAATAGTGAGTGTCTAGAAAAGATGTCAAAATACTGAAATGATTGAGAATAGTATCACAGGAGAGCCAGTTAAAGGAACCAAAGCTGTTTATTCAAGAGAAGACAAGACTCAAGGAGATGTGATAGAGGTGTCTTCAACTATCAGAAAGGATGTCATGTGCAACCAAGATTTGCCAGCAGAACTATGAGTGGAAACTACAGGTTAACAGATTTTGGCTTTGCACACAGAAAAAAACTTACTGGAAATTAGACCTGTCTAAAAATAAAACAGGCCCCCTGAGGACAAAGTTTTCCACTTTACATACCAGTTCATCACACCTCCAAGACAAAACTGGACAATCACTTGACTGAAATATTAAACAAAAGACTGAAACAGAGAACCATGAACTATCTTAGGTTTCTCTTAGTCCTGTAATTCTTTGAATTATGAATGTATGAGAGTATACTTTGCAAAACAAATTTTACAAAGACAGGTAATAAGTAGTTTTGTTGACAAGAAAAAAGGGAACTTCCTGTCATCTTCTGATGTGTGATCTTCTTGGAAATCAAAAGCATACAAGGATGTGTTTTATTGATCACAGTGAGGCCAAATTTCTCTGAAAAATTGTTATGATGAGATGAACTGATATCTAAGAGAAAAAGATCAGATATAATACTGTTTCCATACACCTGTAGACAAAATCCTCAATTCTGTAATATCATCCAAACACTTTTGTAATGAGTTACATAAACATGGAAATCTAGACTGCTATGCTCTGATACGGGAGGTCTACCATAATTTCATCCTCCCCCGGGGTTGACTGCACAGGACCTTGTGCAGATTCCTGGGATGTGATAAGGCGAATGTGCCTGGACATGGGCAGAGCTTTTGGGACCTCTTCCTGGAGTTGAGTTGGATGTGAGTGGACCTCCTATGGACAGTCTCCAGTGGTGGTTTTTCTCAGATATTTAAAAATCTTTAGCCTACTTTTACCTTTGAGAGTGTTTTTGGAATATATAATAAAAGTGTAATTTTTAGGCTGAAGGGCTAAATTATTTTTTTAATTGAGAGCTCAGTTACTATGGTATTCTCTTTTATCTTAGATCTATAGCATAAAGGAAACTACTAAAGGAGTGGTTTACCAATATCCAGAGGCATGTGACTAAAATGCTCAAAAATTGTTCAAATTTCAGCTTGGGCAGCATGACTTGAGGCAATATAATGCCCAGTAAATTACTCAACTTAACCAAGCTTGTTTCCTCATCTGTAAAATGGGGCTAACAAAACTATCCACCTCATAGCTGTTATAAGAATGAAGTGACAAAAGAAAAGTATTCAGCATATTAAGAACTTGATGTTAGCTATGCTATTTACCTAAATGAATTTCTAAACTTTCAAATGATCAGAGAGATGTACTTATTTACCCTACAAATCTCACTAGTAGCACTCAACAATAACAACTTGTTAGTAAAACTGTGTAACTGGTCTTGTACAAGAATGTAAGGGAAAAAAATAGGAGTTTCCTGGCATTCACTTTTTCAAATACTATGCTTTACCCAGGAGTAAAAAATAGAACATGGAATCAGAACTGAAGCATCTTTGTAAATTCTATACTCCGTAGTTTAATAATAGCATCAAGCATCAAATGTCACAACAATTAGAACACTGTGAATTCAATTAAGTGTCCATGCTCTTTACACACCCCACAATCATTAATTACGATCTATTGTGCAATTTGGGCAAGTAAATAATAAAGATGGAGAGCTTACACTGAACCAGGTCCTAGTCACTTTTATGTGTATTTGTCCTGACAACCCTATGAGCTAGACAGTGGGTCTTATTGTGGCCATTTTAACAGATGAAAAAACTTCGATTAATTAACTTGCCCAAGACCACACAACTAGTTAAAAAGGATGGGGGTGGGATATGAACCTACACAATCAGGCTCAAGAGTCCTCTAGACTTTACTGTCTCTAACGACAATGATCAAGTCAGATTAGTTGGGTATTTTTCTTCTAACACGTGCAACCTGATTTATTTGAGAGAAAGGGGAGACTTACTCCTGCCTCAAAGGACTGGTTTTCGTCCCAAGCAATGATTACATTCTAACACTTTTCTCAGTAACAACAATGTACCTGCAGAAGAAAGTCCGCTCTGTATCACAAGCAAAAAAATAAATAAATAAACAGCAGCAGCAGCAGCAGCTGCTATGCTGTTACTTTGGGGACCAATTGTTAGCCGGTATTCACATGACGTTTCCGTGTGAATGTGAGTCGACCGACCTAGCAGAATATAACTGACCCAAAAGTCAGAACCACGCAGGCAGTAATGAAACTGCGTAACACACACCGGCAAGCGGTCATTTCAAAATCCCTCCAGAGATGAATGTTTTGCCAATCTGCACATTACTCGAAGACAGGACAAACTGAACTTACATAAACACTTAGTCATCAGTAGGCACTAAAGTTACAAATCACCAAGTTCGCAAAATCAAAGCAGCAGCCAAGTTCCTAATTCCGAAAACAAAACAAAACAAAACCCAAAAAGGCAGATGACACTTGGTGACTGTAGGGTGAGGGCACCTAGGCTCCAAGCGGAAGTGAAACGAAGGGGGAAAGCTAGCCCAGCGGTGGGGACTCCAACACATGCCAGCCAGGGCACTGGGGACTTTTCAGGGTCTTTCCACCCCCCTCCCAACAGCCCGTCCTTACGTCTACAGGCTGCCCCGACCCCTCGCGTGTCCAGGGCGAATTTGGAAGTAAAGGCAACTAGAAGGCGGAGGTGCCAGGCCTGAGATGTGTAAGCCCAAATCCAGGGGACCATGGCAGCAGAGTCCTCACTGGCCCCGGACAGGTAGGGGCCCTGGGGCGCCACCTCCCACTCTCTGGGCCCCGCACCTGCAAAGTGGTGATGTGCTTGTCGTTGAACTTGTTCTCGCAGTAGCGCAGTACCAGCGACGTCTTCCCCACGCAACCTTCTCCCAGCAGCACCACCTTGAACGAATAGGCTCGGCCCGCCGCCGCCCCACCGCCGGCCGCAGCCATCCCGTCGCTTGCCAGCCACCCGCACTCTAGAGCAGCACCGAGCTCCCCACAGCCGCCGCAGCGCCTTCACGGTCGCGGCCCTTGGCAGTGGCTCGCCAACACCCGGCGTCGTCTCCACCGCCTGCTGGGGCGAGGCCTCGAAGGGCCGAAGGAAAGTCCGAGAATGAAGGGCCCCAGCAACCACGTCAGGCAACCGACGAAAGGCGAACACTCCCTCTCCGCCTCCCTCTAATGGCGTCTCCTTCCTCCTACGTCACACTTTCAGGTCACGTGACCGCCGCGGCTGCCAGCGGCCCCGGGAACTTAGCCCGGGAGGACGTGCCTGGGCGTGGGCAGGGCTTCTGGAGCCTCTTTCTCTGGTAGAGTCGGTTTTGCGGGGAGGTGTAAGGTGCAGTGCTAGAGCTGGGCTGCTACCGCCGCGCTGCATTTTGCGGGAGCCTTGGGGAGCAAGGAATAAGTAGATTGCGGCAAGTCCAGCTTAGGTGAAATGTCGAAGTGCAGGACGTTATCGTTCTTGCTTAGAGAGTGTTGGCAAGGCTAATGACCGCTCTCACACCACCGTCCCTGTAAGCTAAACTGCCAAGGTGCCCTTCAATATCTTGACAGTATTTTTCTGTGGGATCCCAAAGCATAACTAGTGAACTTCTTTTAGTTCCCCAGACCGCCAAGTCTCCTCTTCATTTTTCAGGTCTCAGCTTCAACCGGAAAGGCTTCTCTGACCGCCCATCTTTCTCCCTCTGGTCTTCCACCCCTCTCCTACCCTACCCCCCCAAGTTAGGTATTTCATAATACGGATGTACCTTCTTTAGCAGTATTTACCACACTTCGTAGGAATTACTTTATTGAGTGTTTGTCCTTCTTAGGCTGTAGATTTGTTAAGGACAAGAAAGACTTGCCCAGCTTTGAGTTTCTGACTCCAAGCACTAAGCATATAATGGGCATTTTATGAATATTTGGGAATGAATGAGCGAACAATTAATAAGTAAATGATACATCTAAAGCCATTATACTTTGGCGTCCCGGCTTTTGTTGTCCGTGAGGCTTCTGACATTCCAAAGCGGTTCCACCTTGATAGACCTGGCTTGTTTGATGATTCCTTAACTTTCCTCATCCACCACCCCCCCTTTCTTTCATGAAAAACACTTCCAAGAAACCGTACTAGTGTTTCTGAAAATTTGCTACTAGAAATCTGGTATCAGTTAGGCAAACATTTTTTCCCACCAGACTCCTTTTCCACTTTGAACCTGATAGTCCATTCATTCACTCAAATATTTGAAGATGTCCACCATATGTCAGGCCCTGTGCTGAACAAGACACTGTCTGTCGAGAGCTCACATTTTAGTAGGGAAGGCAGACATGGTAAAAAAATATATATAATAAATTCTTTCCTCTTGACAATACAGTTCAGAATAAGTTGCAAACTTATATGGGGTCCCAAGTGGAGTAACCTAGGCAAGAAAGAAGAGCTTCACAGAGTGAACATCATGCAACAGCCTTGAAGTAGGAAGAGCAAGTATCTAAAGTTAAGCAGTGTGCGAGAATGCAAAGAGGAAGGAAAGGAGCATCAGATGAGACGGGAAAAGAAGCCAGGGGTCAGTACTGAAAGGATCTTTCAGAGAACAAACTATTTTAATCAAGGGGGCTAACATAATCAGAATTTACTTTTAAAAGGTCACTCTGGCTTTACTGTAATTTGGAATTAAGAAGGATAATATTGCCCTGGCCTGGTGGCTCAGTTGGTTGGAGTGTACAGGACAGCACTCCAACCAACTCCGAAAAAAAGTTTGCACAATAGATCCCAGGTCAGGGCACCTACAAGAGTCAACCGATCAATATTTCTCTCTCACATGGGTGATTTTTTCCTCTCTCTCTCCCCCTTCCTCTCTTTCTAAAATCAATAAACATATCCTCAGCTGAAGATTTTTTTAAGAAAAGATAATATTACCTTGATTTATTTAAAATCAGTCATTAAAGAGACCTTATGTTTTTATTAAATATACTCATGATTATATCTGAGGATATATTTTCTACTTCTATCTGCACTCTTCCTTTTAGAGTCTTTGCATATTCATAAATACTTGCAGAATTAGAAAGGGAATTCATTTTGAAGGGGCACCTTCTACTGTCTGTTATGAATTTTTCGTATTGAATTGAAATCTGCCTCTCTCTGTCTGCAATTAATTGTTTCTGGTTCAACCAACCCTGCATGTATCTAATCTCTATTCTTTGTGAAACATCTTCATATGAATGAAGAAAGCTATGTGATCTTCCTTTAAACCTTCTCTTTTATTTTCAAATAGCCAATTCTTCCAACCACTCTTCAAATGATACAGATCCCAGATCATTTAATAGCTTGATCATCTTAGAATCTACATGCATTATTTTGCATTTATTACTGAATCAAAAAGTTAATTTTTTTATTGTAAAATAAAATAATTTTGAATGATAAAATAATTTTTCAGGTTTAGCTTACATTGGGATTTAAAAAGTATTACAAATATTCATGGATTGTGATGTCAGTTTGGCACAGTTTTTTTTTTTTTAAGACAGAGAGAAACATTGATGTGAGAGAGAAATATCAATGTGTGGTTGCCTCTCACGTGCCCTCTACTGGGGGTATCTGGCCTGCAACCCAGGCATGTGCCCTGACAGGGAATTGAACCAGGGACTTTTTGGTTCACAGGCTGGCGTTCAATCCACTGACCCACACCAGCCAGGGCATTTGGCACAGTTTTGAACAAAATGGGTAAATATAAATGTAAATTATGGCAGACTGATAATGTCCCCTGCAAAGATATCAGGTCCTAATATCTGACACCTGTAAATGTTTCCTTATTTGGAAAAGGGTATTTTCAGATATGATAAGTTTATGATTTTGAGATAGGTTATCTTGGATTATCTTGGATTATCTGGGTGGCCCCTAAATGCAATCACAAATACTCTTATATGAAGAAATCAGAAGGAGATGCTACACGCACAAAAGAAAAAGCAATGTGACCATGAAGGCAGAGATTGGAATCAAGCCACAGAATACTGACAGCCACCAGAAGCTGGAAGAGACCAGGAATAGATTTTTCCCTAGACTTTCTGGGAGGAGTGCAGCCTCCAAGAGCACTTTAGGCCCTTGAGTATAGCTTCTGCTATCCGGAATGTTCTACCCTCAGCGTTTCTCATGGCTAACTCAATCTCATTCTTCAGGTACTAACCTGCATATCACCCCCTCAGGGAAGTTACACTCATGATACTTTCTAAAGTAACCTTGATTTCTTCATACTTTTAATAACACTCCTAACATTTTGTTTATAGGACCTATGAGAACAGATACCTAGATGTCTGGCACACTATTGAGTCTCCAGAGCCTAGCACTGTGCCCAGAACACAATGGTCACTCAATAAATATTTGTTGTATGAATGGAAGTAGGATAATATTTTAATATTTTAGTCAATGGGTATTTCCTCCTAGTATTTACATGGGACATGTAACAGGGAAGGATAGTGACAACAGAATATAATACAGCAATGATGCTAGTTTTGGGATTTCAATTTTCAGAAGTCCAAGCCACCATCTCTAATACTAATAAATATTAGTCAAGGATTATTAGAAGAAAAGCAAGAGAGCTAGACCTTGGTGACTGTTCCTGTGGTAGACTATATGGTGCTCATACATTCCAACCCTTATGCCCTGTCTTCCTATGCTACAAAGATAAAAAGAGAAATCCTTGAATTCATGGTCTTGGAGTTAAAATAGTCATATAGCAACTATGAGGATTAAAATCATGACTGAGGATGGCAGAGCAGAAAGTTAAACGTATTCTTGAGTAGACATCCTAATTGTGGATTACCTATCTCTGGACTTTTTTTTTCATCTTTACCTTCACCCGAGAATACTCTATTGCCATTTAGAGAGAAAGGAAGGGAGAGAGAGAAATATCATTGCAAGAGAGAAGCATTGATCAGTTGCCCCCATACAGGCCCAGACTGGGGATTGTACATGCATAGAGCAGGATCACACATGCCTGGATTAGGGGGTGGAACTCACAGCCTAGGCATGTGCCCTGACCTGGAATCAAACCTGCAACCCTTTGGCGACAGGTCAACACTCCAATTGACTGAGCCATACTGTTCAGGGCTATCTCTGGACTTTGACTGGAGAAATCAAACACCTGACTTACATAATTCACTATAGTATATGGTTGTCTATTATTTGTAGCCCAATGCATTCATAATGATAACGTCCCAATAATTTTGGAGGATCCAAGACCAAAGGGAACAAATTTCCCTCTTCCTCAAAGAAACCCAAGAAGGTAACAAGCTTGTAAAGTTCACCTGTGCCTAAGATAGACCAGAAGCCACAGAATAGAGGTAGAGTGTCTAGACAGAAAGCCTCTAGTCTTACAGAGTTCCCTCAATGCCAATGCTAAAAGAATCTTCAAATGTTTCTTGCCACCTGCAGAGAAACATTGATATAGAGTTGGATTTAGAGATAGGGTGACCAATCATCCCATTTTGCCTAAGACTTTCCTGATTTGAGTGTTGAAACTCCTACATCCTGGGAAACCCCTCATTCCTGGGCAAAGTAGGATTGCTGTCCTACTTAAAGATACCTTTTTTTCCCCCCCAGAACAAGTAGGACACAGCAGCACTTGAGTGCCAGCTGGGTATGAGAATTTGGAGAGATGGCAGATGCCAACATATTTGGATGTTGGCAACTGAGACCCTACTGCTTGGCACCTTGGAAGTTCATAGGTCCCTTCAAACATTGATAAAGCCTGGGAAAGATGTGGTTCTGAATTGACTAAGACTATTGACATTTAAATTTAGTTTCTATTAGAAGTCAAAAAATTAAGTTCAATTTTTGAAAAAATAAATTTCTTGCATACCTGAGTTGGTGGGCCCTCAATAGAATAAATAAATGATCAGAGTATTGAAGGAGTAGTAGGAATCAGCCAGGCAGAGAGATTCAGATTTCAGGACACAGCATAGCATCAAAACAAACACCAGGAATGAGATGAACATGGTGGAAGATGAATTCAAAGAAGTAAATAAGCTCACATAGAACCTGAAAGTAATGCTAAGAATTTTGGATTTTATCATAGAAACAGTGAGAATCCTTTAGGACAGTATGCCTGAAGTGTGGTCTGCAGGCCATCAGCATCAGCTGGGAGCTATTTAGAAATGCAGAATCTCAGATTCCCAGTCCCCTACCAATATTAAATCAGAATTTTAAGAACAGAATCTAGGAATCT